AATGCACATTTTAAAAGTAAAAGAGCACATCAGGCTTTTAATGGACATAGCTTGCCTACTCCAGTGCTTCAAAGGCAGAATTTTCAGTATTTGATTTATGTACATGTATCTTTGCTTCTAAACTCCTTGCTCTCAACTGGCCTTTCAATGTTAGATGTCATTATTGAATGGTTTTCCTGTAATAGAAAATGAGGACTAGGGAAACTGATGTACCCTTCCCACAGCATACCACCAAAACACAGCCTTCTTTCTATCCTCCCATAGTATAGCCCGCTTGGGGTTAACTCAGTATTTAATATTTACATTGCTCTAACTGTGCATATTCACTCATGGCTGAACTGCAGCATGTTTGTGTATTTTGTAATTTATATTTCTTTCCTTGTACTGATTTCTGTTTTTCTGGACTTTAAAATTAGCTGTGCACTGTTTTGCTTCTATAGCTTCCTATTGTTATGGGACAATAAGAAAATCTCTGTTCTTGTCTCATGTCGAAGAAGAATTTCCACGTGGACAAGGACAGTGAGCAAAGAAAGACTTACTGAAAGTGAGAAAGCGCCTGCCATAGCAGTCAGGACTGGGGCTCCAAGAGAGGAGTTTCCTGGGGAACCTGCAAGTACTGGCTCTTTTTATGCACCAAAATAGCTACCTAGATTTAACCATTCAGGGGCAGAGCAGAGTAATAGATAACCAATCAGAGCTGGAATAACAACCAGTCAGAGGCAGGGATAAAATCAGAGGACTGTAATCTGTAATCCTGTCTAGCCTGCTCTCATGATAAAACTAAAAACCCATCAGGGGCTGGCACTGTGGTATAGTGGGTTAACACCCTGGCCTGAGGCACTGGCATCCCATATGGGCACCAGTTCGAGTCCCGGCTGCTCCTCTTCAGATCCAGTTCTCTGCTATAGCCTGGGATAGCAGTAGAAGATGGCCCAAGTCCTTGGGCCCTTGCACCAATGTGGGAGACCTGGAAAACGTTCCTGGCTCCTGGCTTCAGACTGGTGCAGCTCCGGCCGTTGAGGTCTCCTGGGGAATGAACCAGCGGATGGGAAGACCTCTCTCTCTGTCTCTACCTCTGTACCTCTGCCTTTCAAATGAATAAAATAAATCTTAAAAAAAAAAAAATCAGAGGGCTGGAATTAGTAACGTTGCCTAATCTACTGTCATGAAAAAACTAAATATTGCTTAAGGCAGCCTCTGGGAAGAAGCAAGCACTTTGCCCACTCTTAAAGGGATTGTGTCCCTTTTCTCATTCTGCCAGGGATCTGACTCAACTGTCTATTAGCTTGTCTAACTCCTAACCCTATTATCTATCATTTGTGTACACTTAGATTTTCTGACACGGTTTTAAGCTTTCAATAAAATCAAATTCACCAGGTGAACTAGTGGTGCCATTATTTGGCTGTCTGAACTGTTTTGCTCCTTGAAATTTCATTCTTATCCTGAATGTTTGCATCCTACATCTTTTGTTTTTGCTTGTTTTGTTTTTAAAGATTATTTATTTGAAAGGCAGAGTTACAGAGAAGGAGAGGCAGAGAGAGAGAGAGAGAGAGAGAGAGAGAGAAAGAAAGAGAGAGAGAGAATCTTCTATCCCCTGGTTTACTCCCCAGATGGCTATAACAGCAAGGAATGGGCCAGGCTAGAGCGAGTAGCCAGGAAATTCATCCCGGTCTCCCACATGGGTACAGGGGCCCAAGTACTTGGGCCATCTTCTGTTGCTTTCCCAGGTGCACCATCAGGAAACTGGATCAGAAGTAGAGCAGCAAGGACTTGAACCTGCACCCATATGGGATGCTGGCAGTGCAGGTGAAAGCTTAACCCATCGCACCACAATGCCTACTTCCCTTCTCATTTATAATCAACGCTTTATTATTCAGATTTCATGCCTTTCTCTTTTTTATTTACTCCCTCATTTTGAAGGAGCAAATGGTTCAGTGGCTTCTTGAGAGGGAAATTTGAGTTCTTTTAAATATATTTATGTACTGCATGTCAAACGAAAAAAAAACCTGTATTTTAGCCTTGCACTTGACTGTGGTTTGGCAAGGTACAGTATTCAAGGTTGGAAATAATTTTCATTCAGAATTCTCAAGGAGAGGCTTCAACGAAGGTGCCCATGTTGCTACTGAGAAGTTCAGTGGAGTCTGATCCTGCTTCTCAATCCTTATGATCAAAGTTGATTTAAAGTCTTTTCTTTGTAACTCTGGCTTTGTGATAATGAGTCTTGATGTAGGTCCTTCTCCTTTCATTGTGCTAGATTCTAACTCAGTCATGTAAATCTGAAAATGTGTCCTTCAGTTTCAAATATTTTTATTCTATTATTTGGTGATATTATTTATTTCCTGTTTGTAGAACTTGTTAACTGGATAGAAGTCTCTGATTCTTATCTTTTCTATCTTATAGTTAATCTGTTTTTATTCTATTTTCTAAAATTTATCTCAAGTGTTCTGAATTTATGTGTGTATGAATGCATTACACACACATATTTGAAATTAAAGAGCTCCTTTTTCTAAATGTTTCTTTTAGATAACATTACAGTATTTTTCATGGTTGTAAAATCAGTTTTGTCCCTGACGATACTACTTTTGCCTTCTTTTCTTGTTGCTCCATTCATGGTTTCTGGGATATGCAGTAATGGCTGGGAGCTTAGACTCTGCAGCCAGCTTAGATTGCCACTGACCTGGGGTAAGTTATCTGACCTCTATTCATCAGTTTTCCCCATTGTGTAGTGTTGCTGGATTGTACTAATGAAATTAATACATATAAAGAACTTAGAACAGTATCAGGAAAGAGTAAGCCTTCACATGGTATTTTAACCACTTCCTCTGAGTTTCTTTTGTCTGTTTTAATCTTTACTTTTAGTATTTGATACTTTCCTCAAATGCCTGGCATTCCTAAGCCCTGTGTTCATATTTAACTCTGAGCAACTAAAATGTAGTTGAAAGCTCTCCGTGTGCCTTTGAGCTCCGGAGCTGCCCTGTGGGAAATACAACACCTGAAGGTACCACACTGATGAGGCCACAAAATAGCAGAGGTGCTCAAGGAGTACAAGCTGCTGCAGTCCCCACCTGCCCGGTGAGTCACTACAGTGCAAACCGCCTTCCGGAAGTCTAATCAATCCCCCAATCCCGAGGAGTCATAATAATCCCAAGCAGTTGGTGTTGACTTATGCCATTAAGTTATGAAATAGATAATGAATAGATAAATGGTAGAGGAGAGCAGCTGTGGTCGGAGCAAAGGCTCACCTGGTATAAGGTCCTGTGACTGGTCATTGCTTTCAATTACTTGTCCAGAAATAACCTCCCCATCTCCATTTCTTTAAAGTTTGCCAGGTGGCATTCTTGTTTAATTCTCTGTAGACATTTACAAGTGTTTTTTCTCTCGCTGTAGTTCAAATAGGTGGTGGAATCACAGCTTGGGGTAGGGTAGGGTGTAGAAGATGCCCCCTGTAAGCACAATGATTGCTTGTTTTCTAAGCATCAAGATAATGCATAATAATAAAACACCCACCACAAACAGGAAGTAATAGTTACCTGGATAAGAAACATTTTTCTTTCCTTTGTATCTCATCAGTTTCTTATTCATCTAAATTCATTCCTGTGCCAGATTGCCTTGCAAGCTTAAAAGAGTGCTTCAAATTAAGGCAAAAGAAAGCAGAGGAGAGTGCCAGAGAACCTCCTCAAGAGCGGAAACAAGGCTTTCAATGGAGATGCCCACAGTTGTTAAGGCCTGACTTTTAGAAGTAGATAATTGAGCATTAAATGATGTGCAGCATAACTGCTAAGAGTATATTTGTTTAAACAGTGGCACACCCATTGTGCTCTGAGGAGGGAGTTTGGACTTTAAACATCTTGACAGAGACCTAGGCCTACAATGTATTTATTTCACATCATTAACACTGTTTACATTTTACTGCTCACTTTATTCCTGTCCCCTGAAAATGAGATTAGGCTTCCGGGCAAGAAGTCATCGCTACAAAAAAGCAGAGAGTATCAAGAAAAGCTCACAGGGGAGAAGATAACTTCAGCATCCCCATTGAAACAGATTTAAACAGCTGTGAACCATGTCATCAGCCACTCAAAACGGACCTGTCAGATTCAGCTGCACTCATTGAAACCTTCATTCTGCATTCACTTCTAATGGTTTGAAAGTCTAAGATGAACATTGTATTGGGTTTGCAGAAGAAATTTAACCTATTATAATTTTTTGAATTATTTGTTTATTTGAGAGGCAGAGACATAAGGAAACAAAGAGACAGAGAGAGTGCTGCCATCCACTAGTTTGCTCCCTAAATGCCTGCGATAGGTGGGATTGAGCCAGGGCCAGATCCTGGGTCCAGGAATTCAACCTAGATCTCTCATATGACTGACAGAAGCTCCATTACTTGAGCCATCACCGCTGCCTCCAAGAGTCTGAATTAGCAGGGAGCTGGAGTCACAACCTAGAGCTGAGTGTGGAACCCAAGCACTCCAATATGGGATGCAGTCATCCCAAGTGTCACCTTGACCAGAAAGCCAAATGCTTGTCCAGACAGAGCTATTAATTTATCCACGAGGTCAATTCAACTCAGGCCATGTGCACATAGGGTTGTTACATCTTAGCCATTTGCCTCAATCTTGTGCAGTTCTTTATTGTTTATATAATCCTTATCTATTCCCAGAAATGTCCTTCTTAAAATTAATCAATAGCCTTCTCTTCAGCATATTTGTCTCTAAAGATGTTTGTAACTTATTGTGTCCTAAAAACAGTAGTCTCCAGCTTGTGAGAAATTCGCTTCTGCTTCCGTAGAGCTTGACTTTTTTTGGTCCAAGACGATTATATTGACTGTGTAATGCAGCAATACATGAAAATTTACTGTCATGCCATTAATAAAGTCTGATTAGAATGTAACTACTTTGAAACACTTCCTAAGACTCATTAAAAGTCATTGTACTTGTGTCTCCCAGCCCTAGATCACTCATATTCTGCCCTGGATAAATCTTATTAACTGATTTTTTTTACAGAACCTGCTTATTTCCATCAACACAGTGGACTCTGGAGAAGCCAGGGTGTGTGGCTTGGAAGATCACTGAATTATCATCACTACCATGCACAGGTTGGACCTTAACCCCTAGCAATCAATTGCTCTGTGTAAGAACACACAGAGGAGGAAGATCTACCTTGTATTTCTATCCCAGGAAAAGATTTAAATCTTTGAAATCTTACACTACCTCCAAAATATTACAGTCACTGCCTTTATGGGCTTCCTCCTTGTGGAAGAGTCACCAGATGCAGATTGTGGTCTAGACCAGAATAAATTGTGGAATAGAGCAGTGGCTCTCAAAGTGAGATACACATCAGAATCACCCAGAAGGCTGCATGAGACTCAGACTTCTGAGCCACAACTGCACAGCTTTCGATTTGGTAAATTTAGAATGATGCCTGATAATTTACATTTCACTCAAAGGCACAGGTGAAGCTGACACTGTTGGCTCAGGGAACATACTTTGGGAACCACTGGAATACAGCCATCTCAATGATTGCTGAGTGCCCATAAATTTATTGTAAATGCATGTCATTAAAATGCATGCATGCAAACAACAAACCCATCAACTCTATCAAGAACCACATGCATCCTCCAATAGTTTACATATGTTTCCATGAAAAAGAAGATAAAGTAGAATAAAATAAAGTGAGAAGAAGGGTGGGAGAGCAGGTGGGAGGGCAGGTACAGTGGGAAGAATCACTATGTTATTGAAGTTGTATTTATGAAATACATGAAGTTCATATACTTTAAATAAAAGGATTTTGGGGATAAAAATACAGTGGATGGAAAAAAGTTCACTCAGAGACAACAAACTCAAAATCAGATTTATACTCTGGAAACATGTGGAGAATAATTTTCACAGTGAAGACACTTTGGTTTAGCACTCAACTCACATTTTCTCTTCCAGACCTCGTAATAGTGTTAGGAGGAGTGTATCTAATTGCCCTCTACCTTCAAGGAAACCAAAGCTTAAAGACGCTCACAAAGAGAGTGAACAACCACCCTGGTTTTCTAGAAAGTAAGTGCATTTCTAGGCAATGGGACTTTGACTACCAACACCAGAAGACTCTTGGACAAACCAAGGTGATTGGTAACACTATGAAGTAGGTCAGTGAGTTACTGTTTCTGGACAGACAAAGGCAGGTCTACTGCTCTGAAAGTTTGAGAGCACTACACAGCAGCAAGTGTGTCGTTCTGTGTTCTACAGAAGTGCCAACTTAGGTGTTCACTCTCTGCTACCCCCTGTTAGACATGGGAGATGCTCTCTCTGTATGATTTGATAAATCATCAAAATTTGAATGTGCTCTTGTGCTCCCACAGATTTAAAGCAACATTCACACATATCTAATGCAATATCCTACTTTTATTATAGCAGAGAACTGAGGCCCAAATAGGTTAAATTATTTAACCAAGGTGGCAATTAACTCAACCTCTGTAAATCACCTTGAGACATATTGTTTTTCCTTTAAATTGGAAATCCTTAATTTTTGGACTAGGTTCAAAGGATACACTATTGAGAATGTAAGATTGTAATTCTTTTGAAGAAGAGATAATATTTCAAGTTAGTGGTACTAAATGATTAAGTTACATAATCTGTAATATGTGTTTTCTGTGGTGCTTGAGATCTATTAATTCAGTTGCAAAACACAAGAAAAAAATGAGATAGGTGGAACACAGGAGATATATTAATCATAGATAAATTAATAATAATAATAATAAAAACATGTTCAATGTAAATAAATGAGTATATGTGTGTGACTATAGACAGAAAGTTATGGAAGGTCCAAATGACATTAACTGTTCATGTTCCACTAAATATATATAAGGCACAGTAGTCATATACACTAGGTGTGCAACATATGATACATGCCCAGAAGAGGAGCTCTTAAAACAGGAGGAAAAGGGAGAGCTCATAGAAGAATTCTATAGGCTCTCAGGAGGTAATGTTGGCTGGGAAGGGATATTCGGCTAGAGGCAATCAGTAGGGTATAGGAGATCCAGGGCAAGAAATCACTGTAATTTGATTATGTGGAAATAACAGAGTTCAAAAAGGAAGCACAGGGCAGGCATTTGACCCAGATATTAAGAAGCCAATTGGAATGTCCACCTTCCATACCAGAGTGCCTGGGTTCAAGTCACAGCTCTGCTCTTGATTCCAGTTTCCTGTTAATGTGCACCCTGCTCAAGTACTTGGGACCCTGCCACTGACATGGGAGGCCTGGATTGCATTCCTGGCTCCTGGCTTCCACTTGGCCCAGGCCTGGCCCTTGATGGCATTTGGCTAGTAAATCAGCAGGTGGGAGCATCCTCTCTCTCTCTCTCTCTCTCAAACAAACAAAAAGTAAAAACAATTTGATAAAGAAAGCACACAGTAGAAGAATACCCAGGATAGATCTCAAGGGTCTCACAGACTGCTGAGGAAATAAATAAGATAATATAATGGGTTTTCATAAAGTTCACAAAAATATGTATTATCTTTTTTTTTATTTGACAGATAGAGTTAGATAGTGAGAGAGAGAGACAGAGAGAAAAGTCTTCCTTCTGTTGGTTCACCCCCCAAATGGCCACTACGGCCGGCGCTGTACCGATCCAAAGCCAGGAGCCAGATGCTTCCTCCTAGTCTCCCATGTGGGTGCAGGGCCCAAGCACTTGGGCCATCCTCCACTGCCCTCCCGGGCCACAGCAGAGAGCTGGACTGGAAGAGGAGCAACTGGGACTAGAACCTGGTGCCCATATGGGATGGTAGCACCGCAGGCGGAGGATTAACCAAGTGAGCCACAGCGCCGGCCCCTGTATTATCTTTTAATTCCATGCTTTTCACAAATATCCTGAAATACCATCATATGTATATAGCCTTGACTTATATTGTAGAAAAGTCAGAGTATATGAGAGTCCTCAGTAACACTGGATCCAGGTTGGAACTTATGTATAAATTTGTACTCATCAAGCTAAAAGACAAAATATTCACAAATTATTTTACCATGTCATCATATATTACCCCATTAATGAAGAGTCCAAGGAATTTTAATACCAATACAGTGACTGAAAAGGGTAAGAGCTTGACTGGCATTTATCATCATCGTCATCGTCATCATCCTCATCATTTCTGTCTCTATTATTTAAATCTGTTTTTGTGAAATAACACCCATTAACTTACTTAATGTAAAGTGCTGTAGATAGTTATATTCAAATGTATTTGAAATTAAAATTATATTCTGGAATTTGAAGTTCATAAAGTCAACAAGTGTGTTGGGGCTGGCATTGTTGTGTAGAGGATAAAGCCACTGCCTGCCACACTGGTATCCCAAATGTACTGGCTGCTCCAGTTCTGACCCAGCTCCTGCTAATGGTCTGAGAATAGCAGAAAATGGCCAAAGTGTTTTGGCCCTTGCCACCCATGTGGGAGACATGGAGGAAGCTCCTGGTTCCTGGCTTTGTTCTGGCTTAGCCTCAGCCATTGCAGCCATTTGGGGAGTGAACCAGCTGATAGAAGAAGACTTCTCTCTCTCTCTCTCTAATTCCGATTTTCAAATAAATAAATCTTGAAAAAAAAAATGCCCCAGATACCTGACTCCAAATGTATTGTGAAATACATTCTAATAATGTATTATTTTCTCTCTCTCTTTTTCCTTCCTTCCTTCCTTCCTTCCTTCCTTCCTTCCTTCCTTCCTTCCTTCCAAAGGCAGAGCTACAGAGAGGCAGAGGCAGAGAGAGAGAGAGAAAAGCCTTCTATCAGCTGCTTTATTCCTCAAATGGCTGCAATGGCAGGAGCTGGGCTGGCCTTTTCAAAGCCAGGAGCCAGGAGCATCTTCCGGTTCTTTGGGGATTAAGGAGCACTAAAGACATTTTGTGTTTTCCTGGTCTTAGAGACTAATATTATCTACCATGGAGAAATGATAATGACATTTAATAAGCCCTTTAGAATAAAACCCTGCTATGTGAAACCTTTTCATCTCAACTGACTGGCTATTCTTCCTGAGATTAGTCTGAAATTAAACAAGTCTTTAAAGAGAGAACTTTATAACAACCTCCAGGAAGAGAAAGTCTGGCTCATTCATTCAATTATTCTTTCAGCAATCCCGACAGATTTCTAGGTGATGCTGCTTTTCCAGGTCTTCTTGTTGAGCATTGAAGCAGGAAAAGACTGGGAAATTGAAAGAATTGGATCTACCTTTTTGTCTCCAGTTAATGTTTTTTAGAAGCCCAATTCCACCGCCTTCCCCCCTTCCAGCTGAATTCCAACTGATGAACTTATAGAAGTTTGTGAGATGGGCCAGGAATTCCTGGGTGACCTGGAGTTCATGAAGAAGCTATCGGGGGGCCAGCATTGTGGTGCAGGGTGTTAACTCCCTGGCCTGAAGCACCGGCATCCTATATGGGCACCGGTTCTAGACCTGGCTGATCCACTTCCTTTTTTTTTTTTTTTTTAAGGAAAGGGTTTATTGGGAAACCCGACAGACCAGAGGGAAGGGGCAAAGAAAGAAAAGCGGGAGAAGGAGAGTGTAAGAGAGAGACAGAAAGAGAGAGGTCAGGAGGTGGGGTTGGGGGGAAGGGGAGGAGGGAGGGGAGAGGGAGAGAGAGCCACGTGTTTGGGAACAAGTCCTTTTAAAACTTTGCCAAGGGGCAGGCAGGTAAGTAGGAGCAGCGAATCCTATTACTATGGGGGTGGATCTTGGCACCAGTGGTCGGGCCATTTGGCCACCTGGCTTCCAGCAATGGCGGTGGGGGCTAGAGCCTAGGATGTTGTCAGGGTGTAGATCGTGCCATAGATAAGACTGCACCATTTTACTAACATTTTTGTTTTTATAAAGCAGGAGTTATATAAAATTACATTAGTCCCAAAAGTCCAGGAGGGATAGAGGGATGATGATCTGTCTTTAGAGCTACTTCCTGCTGACATGGGGCGACGAGGTACTCTTCGCTGGCATGGGGTGATGTCTCAAGCGGCTGTCTCCTGGGTGGGGAGCTGAGTATAGCCCTGCAGCAGCAGCAGCAGCATTTGGTTGACTGCCTGGTTGCTGAAGACCTTGGTTCGTCCCATTATTAACTCCTATAAACACTTAAGCAGACACAGTAGTATAAAAAACAGGGTGGAAAACAGAGAGGCTTACGGTTACAAAGGAATGAGGCCCCAAGTAGGCTAGTCAGGGTCTAGAACAAAGGACAGAGTCATTACTAGAAGACCTAAGAAAGGTGCTATCTAAGCCACGACTAAGTTTTCTGATTGAGAGGCAAATAGAAACTGACAGAAGGGACTTGATAATAATCTGGTGGGCTTTAAGGCTTTGTAAGTTATGAACCCCAGGCATATCTATCTCTTCAGTGGGGTACGTCCCAAGGGAGGTGTGAACCTCCTTGGGAAGACACCCTGTTGACTTCCATTACCTAGGTGGCCTGGGAAGAGAGCTGGCCAGGTAAAGGCAGGTGGTATCTCTAACAGGAAATTTACAGTTCTGCCTGCAATGTCACTGACCCTACTTGGCCGTCCCCTCGGCAGCAGTGGTCATCTTAGAAGCTGGGCCGAGTGAAGAGCTTTTCAGCTTGGAGCCAGCAAGATCTGTGGCTCTGACCTGGGAGTCCTTCAACTCCAGGGCAGTTCCATTTCCAGTGGTCCAACTCTTGGCTGGCAAAGCTGCCAGGGCTCTTCATAAGCTGACTTCTGCTGAAGTCCAGGCTTCCCATGTCAAAAACCAATGCAGTGGACTGGCCTGTTGGGTCTCCTTGAGGGCAGCTCACTGTACCAACTGCTCCACTTCCTATCCAGCTCTCTGCTGTGGCCTGGGAAAGCAGTAGAAGATGGTCCAGGTCCTTAGGCCCCTGCACCCGCATGGGAGACCCAGAGAAGTTCCTAGCTCCTGGCTTCAGATCTGCCCACCTCCGGCCATTGTGGCCAACTGGGGAGTGAACCAGAGGATGGAGGACCTCTCTCTCTCTCTCTCTCTCTCTCTCTCTCTCTCTCTGCCTTTCCTCTCTCTGTATAACTCTGACTTTCAAATATATAAATAAATCTTTAAAAAAAAGAAGCTATCAGGGATAAAGATGACTATGAGTCCCCCCACCAAGAGTAGTAAAGAGCTGTGCTGTCAGGAAGCGAAGTCAGTCACTCTGCAATCTTCAGTTTCCTTGGGTTTCAAATGGACGTTGAAACAAAGCAAAACCAATTTCACAAAGGATTCAAGAAGAGTAACTTTCATAATGTCCAAATCATTGCCTGTGAGTTAATATATCCAAAGTTGCTAAGTCAGAAGCTGAAACCACCTTCTGGTTCAGTTTTCAAGGGACCTGAAGCGCCAGCTGAGAGAGTCAGACAAAATCTTCATGAATTCAAAAGAGGGATTGATTCCCACTCATGGACTCTGTGATGTGTTTTGAGAAATGGTGCCATAGCGGTAAAAGCTAGTGGCGTTCTCCTTGGAATCACACCCTAGAGAGCTACCTAAGTGATTCTGCTGGGCAAGAAGAAAAGCAGCATTTCAGGGAAAAGGCAAGTCTCACTTTCCTCTTTTGATAAAGACATTTGATAGGAATCGTCATATACAGTTCCACAAGCATTAGTCATGGAAGAACAGAAAAAAACATTAACACAAGTTTCTTTTCAGGGACTAACTAGTCTGGCTCCCCCCATCAGTTTGGCCACTGAGTTTGAAAGACACAAATGTTTAGAGGTGCATTTATGGCATGGTGGCTTTTAAGTATATCAAGGAGCCCTACCACTTTGATAAACTTGAGGACAGGATTTATATGCACTTGGCTACTTCATTTGATAACAGAGAGACAGTAATTTCTTTAAAAGAGCAAGACCTGTATTGCATCAGCAATACTGTAGGGTGCCCAGTAAGTATATTCACTTAAAAAAGCCAGCAAGAGTGGTTTGTGTTTTGATATCTTCTGAAGTCTTAATGATGAAGAGTCATAAGAAGTGAAATCACTAATTCACCGTATTATTAAACACAATTTGATAAAAAAAAAAATCCAGCAAACCCGGGAAGCAGAGTCTGAAAAACTTGCAGAGAAATGGAGCAGAGGCCAGCTTTATGTCTGGATTTAGTGCTGAGACAATGTTTCCTTATTGCCTAAAACAGTTTTTCTATTATTTTCGGCTAAAAGCATCATAATTGATTCAAGATCAATGCATTCACTTCTTGTGGGGTACATTCTTTCCAATAACCACAGAGCAATTGTCTCTTCCCCTAGACGCTCCTTCTATTGGAAGTTCTAGGAAACCAAATGAGTCAGCAGAAGTTCTTCTCTCCTCAGAGTGGAGTCCTTTAAATGGGGATAGGATGGTTTCTCAGAGAGTTTGAACTAAATGTTTACAGAGCATTTTGAAGTACTGCTACCCATAACCAAGGTGCCCCTCTCCAGTGACTGAGATCCAAGATACAGCGAGACTTCTTTTCCAGGCCGACATTGTGCTGCAGTAGGTTAAGCCTCCATTTCTGCCTCAGACATCCCATATGGGTGCTGGTTCGAGTCCCGGCTGCTCCACTTTAGATCCAGCTCTCAGCTAATGTACCCGGGAAAGCAACAGAAGATGGCTCAAGTACTTGGGCCCTTGGACCCATGTGGGAGACCTGGAAGAAACTCCTAGCTCCTGGCTTTGGATGGGCTGAACTCCGGCCATTGTGGTCATTTTGAGAGTGAACCAGTGGATAGAAAACCTCTCTGTCTGTAACTATACCTCTCAAATAAATAAATAAGTGAATCATAAAAAAAAAAAAAGCTTTTTGTTCTTGGATGATGGTGGAGGCCCTCTGTACTTGCTTCCTCCTGTGCTTCTCTTTGGGTAGTCCATCACTGCCCAAAGAAATATAAATTGAGTCTCAAACACAGGTGCATATGAATTTTTTTAAATTTTAATGGTTAAATTAAATAAGTAAAAAAAAATGGGTGAAAATAAAGTTTGAGATATTTTATTTAATCCAGTATACTTAAAATATCATTTCAACATGCAGTCATTATAAAACTTATTAATGAATTGTTTTATATTCTTACTTTTGTTCACAATCTTTTAAGTGTTTTGCACTTATATACACACAGCTCAATTTGGACTAGCTACATTCCAAGTGTCCAATCGACAATACATTGGGGCTGGTGTTCTGCTGTAATGAACTAAGCCTCTGCCTGTGGCACCAGCATCCCACATGGGCACCGGTTGGAGACCCGGCTGCTTCTCTTCCAATCCAGCTTGCTGCTATGGCCTGGGAAAGCAGTAGAAAATGGCCCACTGCACCCTTGCATCCACATGGGAGACCCAGAAGAAGTTCCTGGCTCCTGGCTTTGGATTCTCCCAGTTCTGGCTGCTTCAGCCATTTGGGGAGTGAACCAGCAGATAGAAGACCTTTCTCTCTCTCTCTCTCTCTCTCTGTAACTCTGCCTCTCAAATAAATAAATAAAATCTTTAAAAAATGGATAATACATTTGTAGTCATACACGAATCTTTACTTCAGTTATGGATTATACTCTTAGACTCATAATGCTTACTATCCAATTGATTACACAACCATATTATCTTGCCATTGCAGTCATCAGTAAACTAGTGTAATTACACCTTACATATCATAGTTTTTAATAATGAGCTGGAAGCCAAACTTGCTAGTTGTAGGGAATGTGATCTCTCTTTATCCAAAGATTTTTTTTATTATTTTTTACTTAATGCTACTTTCATAGCCATTAGACGAAAATATTATAATTCATCCTAGGAATTCCTACTTTTGAGCTATATATTGACAGAGTAGACCTGCGTGGGTGTCTGTTCATTCCCAGTACACAAATTAGCAGCAAACAGACCAAAAGCAACATTTTTCTAGCTGACCTTTTGTTTAAAAAGTATTTTGTATCCTATTAGTTGAATTCTAACCATTTTAGGATACAGATTAACTAAGAGTACAAGAGACAATATACCATAGTGAAAAGAGCATGAGCTTTGGGGCCAGCGTTGTGCTGTAGTGGGTAAAGCCACTGGCTGCAATGCCCGCATCCCATATAGAGGCTGGTTCCTGTCCTGGCTGTTCCGCTTCTGATCCAGCTCCCTGCTAATAGCTTGGGAAGAGCAGCGGAGAAAGACCTGAGTGCTTGGGCCCCTGCTACCCACGTGGGAGACCAGGAAGAGGTTCCTGGTTCCTGGTTTCAGCCTGGCCCAGCCCTCGCCATTGCAGCCATTTGAGGAGTGAACTGCTGGTTGGAAGAACTCAGTCTCCCTCTCTATGTCTCTCCTTCTCTATCTCGGTAACTCTGACTTTCAAACAAATAAATAAGTCTTAACAAAAGAAAGAAAGAAAGAAAGAAAGAAAGAAAGAAAGAAAGAAAGAAAGAAAGAAAGAAAGAAAGAAAGAAAGAAAGAAAGAAAGAAAGAAAGAAAGAAAGGAAGGAAGGAAGGAAGGAAGGAAGGAAGGAAGGAAGGAAGGAAGGAAGGAAGGAAGAAAGAAAGAAAGGAGAAAAGAAAAGAGAAAAGAAAAGAAAAAAGAAAAAGAGCATGAGTTTTGGAGTCAAGCAAAACTTACTGTAT